GGATTTACTTCACTTAGTATGATCATCTCTAGGTCCATCAATATTGCTGCAAATGGCATTATTTCATTCTTTTTATTGTGTGTGTGTGTGTACACGTATGTACCACAACTTCTTTATCCGATTATCTGTTGATGGACATGTAGGTTGTTTCCATGTCTTGGCTATTGTAAAGAGTGCTGCTGTGAACATTGGGGTGCATGTATCTTTTCAAATTAGAGTTCTTTCCAAAGGGCAGTGAGACTATTCTGTAGGATACTGTGATGGTGGATTCATGTCATTGTACATTTGTCAAAATCCATAGAGTGTAAAACACTAAAAGTGAACACTAGTGTAGACTATGGACTTTGAATGACGATGTGTCCATGTAGGTTCCTCAGCCATAATAAATTTTCTGCTCTGGTGCAGGATGTTGATAGTAGGGGAGACTGTGTGCGTGTGGGGGCAAGGGTATATGATAACTCTCTGTACTTTCTGCTCAATTTTGCTGTGAACATATAACTGCTCTAAAAATTAAAGTCTATTAAAAATAAAAAAAAAAAAAAAAAAAAAAAAAACAAATTAGAGTTCTTTCTAGATATATATCCAGAAGTGGGATTGCTGGATCGTGTAATAACTCTATCTTTTTTTTTTAACATTTTTATTGATTTATAATCATTTTACAGTGTTGTGTAATAACTCTATCTTTAGTTTTTTAAGGGAATCTCCATACTGTTTTCCATAGTGGCTGCACCAAATTACATTCCTACCAGCAGTATAGGAGGGTTCCCTTTTCTCTGAGCCCTCTCTAGCATTTACTGTTTGTGGGCTTTATATATATGTTAGGGGGAAGGAGGTAATTAGGTTTATTTATTTATTTTTTTAATGGAGATAGTTGGAATTGAACCTAGGACCTTGTGCATGCTAAGCACACACTCTACTACTGAGCTATACTCTCCCCCTGTCTGTGGACTTAATGATGGCCATTCTAACTGGTGTGAGGTGATTCCTCACTGTAGTTTTGATTTGCATTTCTCTGATAATTAGTGATATTGAGCATCTTTTCATGTCCCTATTGGCCATTTGTATGTCTTCATTGGAGAAATGTCTGTTTAGGTCATCTGCCCATCTTTTGATTGGGTTGTTTTATTGTTGTTGAGTTAAATGAGCTGTTTGTGTATACCACTCTTCTTTTTAAAATTGAGGTGAAAGTCACATACCATAAAATTAACCAAGTTAATGTTAACAACTGGGTGGCATTTGGTCATCGCTCATGTGCAAACACCACCCCTATCTCATTCTAACCATTTCCATGGCTCCGAAAGGAAACCCCGGGCTACTCATCCCTGCCCATTCCTCCCCTCTTCCATCTCTGGCAACACTAATATGCTTTCTGGCTCTAAAGATTTACCAGTTCTGGACATTTCATATGAATGGAATCATGCAGTATATGTTCTTTGTGTGTCTGGCTTCTGTCCCTGAGCATCATGTTTTCAAGGTTCCCCTGCACGGTAGCAGGTGTCTGTGCTTCATTCCCCTTCATGGCTGAATTATATGGACAGACCACGTTGGGTGCAGCCATTCACCAGCTGATGGGCTTTTGGGCTGAGACTCTTTTTAAACAAAGGCAATGCGTTATTTGAAGGACGCCGGAGTTTCTCATGGGCACCAAGGAAGAAGTGAGAGGACAGGCCTCACAGGGTGGGAGGGTTCGTAGATCTCCTGTGTTCTCGAAAACAGCCCTTAACCTATTTCAGCATCCACTCACCAATCTCTGGGTCTTTTGATTATCATTTTAGGATAAGAGAACGGGAGGGCACACCTAGGGTCAGGTGTCCACTCCCAGCCAGGCAGTCAGTGTCAGGCCTAAGACCTAGAGCTCCTGCGAGCCAGCTCCCACTGCCTGAACTGGCAGGTACCCCAAAAGGTGTCAATACCCAGGGGCCACTGGGCTTCACTGCTGACCTGGGGGCTGAAAAAGATGGGAACCCTGGTGCAGATGTTTGTAGAGGTGACAGAAAAACAGACAATGCAAGCTCCCTTCCTAAAAACTGGAAATGCTGAGCCATGAGAAGCAAAGGCCAGAGTCCGCCAGCGGATGCTCCTGGGTCCCACACCCCCATATCCTAACTGTCCCCCTCACCATGGCTCCTCCACTTGGCCCTTTCCCCAGGGAAATGATCCTGAGAACAAGTGCTTGCTGTGTGCCAGCTAAGCTGGATGCTACATCTGTTTGCTCCTTTAATCTTCATAGCAACTCTGTGATGCAGGCGCTGTCATTACCCCCAAGTTTACAGATGAGGAAACTGAGGCACAGAGAGGTTAAGTAACCCACTTGGGGTCAGAGTGTTAGAAGAAAGGGGGCCAGTGCCAACCTGGGCCGAGTGGGTGGGTTGAAGGTGTAGGGATGTGGGTGCTGAGATGCCCTGCCACTTACCCCTGGAAGTGGGGGGATGGCCACGGCTTCCTCCTCCCAGGATTGTTTCAACAATTAAAACTAAACAAGATAAAGCTTGGGAACTGCTTAGACAGAGCGGGGTGTCCAGTCTGTCCAGGGAGGGCTGATGTGGGAAAGAGGCAAAGCTACATGGTGTGAACCTTAAATCATCGTGCTCCGTGGGAGCAGCCAGCACAGAGGACCACACAGTGCATGATTCTGTTCATACACAACACCCAGAAGAGGCAGGTCTGTAGGGACAGAAAGCAGCAGCTGCCAGGGGCCGGGGGACTGAGGGCTGGTGGGCGTGGACTTTCTTTTGGGGTGATGAAAACGTTCTGGAACCAGATAGTGGTGACGGCTGCACAACCTTTCGAATGCACCAAATGCCACTGGATTGCTCACTTTAGTATCATGATATGTATTTTACCACACACACAACAAGCAGAGATTGGCAGAATCCATTAAAAGAAAAAAAATCCTCTAACTATATGCTGTCCCCAAGAGACACACGTTGATGCAAAGACAAATAGGTTGGAAGTAAAAGGATAGCAAAAGATATTCCGCACAAGCAGGAGCCAGAAGACAGCTGCAGTGACTGTACTAATACCAGATAGAAAGGACTTTAAGACAAGAATTGTCACTAGAGGCACAGAAGGATGCATGGGTGACTGACGATCTCAGAGCTGGAGAGGCAGACACAGTGTCCGAGGGGCCAGCCCCTCCAAAGCAGCCTGCCCCCAGCCTGTCTTGATGGGTGAAGGCTTCTAGAATGCACAAGAACCCGGAGTGACCCAACCAGCTCATAATGGGGGCTGGTAGGCAGGTTCGGACCGATCGTGCAGCCCTCAGAGGACTGTTTGTGCACCTAGGAATGTTGCTGCCGTTAGAGAATGTCACCAAGTCCCAGCCTGGCTGAGGTTGCCAGGGTTACCACTGTGACCCATTGTAGGGGTTGCCATGGCAGCTGGTTCTAGGATGGTGCAAGCTGCTTAGCTAAGAGTCTGCACACACACACCCCCATCCCCGCCCACGTCAGCCAGGCTGGCAGACCAAATGCCACCCTTTTCAGGGAAAGGCAAGCCCACTTGCCCCAGCACCCACCCCAGACAGGGAGATTGGTGTCTGGGAAACCAGCGCAAGCAGCCAGGGGGCTTCTGGAGAGGTTTGGGAGGACTCACAGGTGTGGCCCGAGGGCTGGTGCCCTTGATCAGTACATCGCTGGATTTAGGGGTTCAGGCAGGGCAGTGAGTCCTCATTAAGCAGGCTTTGTGCAGGGTTTCTCTCCCTGAGCACAACTGACACGTGGGCCAGAGCATTCTTTGTGGTGGAGACCGTCCTGGGCACTGCGGGATGTGGAGCAGCATCCTTGGCCTCTACCCACTAGGTGCCCAGAGTGCCCTGTAGTCATGACAACCAGAAATGTCTTCAGACGTTGTCACATGTCCACTGGGGGCCAAACCACCCCCCTGGGAACTGCTGAGTTAGAAGAGCTGGGCTCCCTGCTTGCTGTGAGTGGTTCCCATGACCCCAGGTTCCGCTCCCCACAGCCTGCCCATGCCAGGGAGCTCTTCCAGAATTGCAGGTTCCCAGGCTCTGCCCACATCTCCCAAGCAGCCCCAAATGTGAGTTTTGAAAAGCTGCACTTGGAAGCCTGGGGCTGTCTCCTTGAGGCCTCTTTACCTCGTCTGTGATGATGACCCAAGGAGAAAATGAGGGGCCGTGTCCACTGTTTGTTATTAAGAGTGTCCTGGCTACTGATCCTGTTTCCATCAATAAACTCGTGGGTCCTATTAGGGGATTATAACAACTCGTTGCTGCTTTTTTTGAAATTTCAAAACTCCCTCCCTATTTCACTCCCCCAACCAAAACTCGCCTGCTGTGTATCCCACAATTTAAAGGATTTTAAATGTAAATTGGCTTTTGAGAATTTCAGAACAGAGCTTAAGGGCAGGGAAGACACTGTGGGGTTTTGGAGAATCAAGTGGAAGTCACTGCAGTAATAGCAGTGAACTTCCTGCACTGGCAACACCCTCTCCTGGGGCTGGGAAGAGCTTCTGCCTTCCTCAGTCCCTGGGAAGGAAGTGGCATTAGCATTCCCGTTTCCCCAGAGCTCTGGCGCCAAGGTCCTGTAGACCAGTCTCTCGGGTTGTTCAAGGGAGTGTTTGCCTTAGACCCCCTTATCAGCCCCTGAAGGCTCCTGTGAGCGCTTGGCCCCCAGGCCTATATTCTTGAAGCCCTCTTCCGAAAGAGAGAGAGAAAGAGAGTCTGGACATTCTCCTTCCAGGAAGGGCAGTTTTCTAGAACTCGTTTCCCTGAACTCGGCTCCATCCCAGCCCTGATTGTGGCCTGAGAGGCCAAGTGGGCCCTTCCTGGGGTCTGGAGTCAGGGCATGGCCCCCGCTTATGAGAAGCAGGCTGGGTCTGGGTGAGAAACCTTCGACTGCATTTCATAGCAGAGCAGCATCCCCTGAGAAAAGAATCCTCCTCCCCTCATGTGCAGCCCTTACCCGTGGAGCAGCCCTCAGGAAGCCTGGCCATCTCTTCCGGGCTTGCCCTGTACTTACCCGTGGTGGCGGTGGACTCCTGCTTGGGTAATTTGGTCCCCTTGTTACATCCAGAGAGACACGGGGAGAGGGAAGCATCTGTGCACGGGGTGGGGGGCTGGACCTCACAGATTTCTCTGAAAAGAATTTTTTCCATCTACAGCAGATAAGGATTTGTAAAATCTGTCTCTTAATACCGTTATCACTCCCGGCAAAATTAACAACTCCCGAATACCATCCAATAGACAGTGTTGAAATGTCTCCCCGTTGTGTCTAAAGCAAAAGTGCTATTTTTAAAAACCTTGTTGAGTTATATTCCATATACTAGTAATTTCATCCATTTAAAGTGTACAATATTATGTTATATGTCAATTATACTCCAATGAAAAAGGTATACTGTGCAGTGATTTTAGCATATACACAGTTACATAGCTATCACTGTCAATTTTAGAACATTTTCAACAGCCCAGAGAGAACCCCATTAACCATTAGCTGTCATTCTTCATTCCTGCACCTCCTTGAGCCCCATAATGTTTTCATGTTTATCTGTAGCATGTACCTGTATTTTTTTTCACCAAATAACCTATCATATGAGTAGGCCAGTTTTTGTTTATCAGTTGATGGATATTGGGTTGTTTTCACTCTTTGGCTATTAGGGATAATGCCACTGTGTTCTGTTTTGTTTTGTTTTGGGGAGGAGGTAATTAGATTTATTTACATACATCTATTTCTAATGGAGGTACTGGGGGTTGAACCGAGGACCTCATGCACGCTAAGTACTTAATCTACCGCTAAGCTATTCCCTCCCACCACAGGAATAATGCCACTATAAACATTGCTATACAAATTTTTCTGTGAACATATGCTTTTATTTCTACCTACCTAGAGACAGAATCTCTGGATCACATGGTAGCTCTGTTTCAAGCTTAGGGAACTGCCAGCCTGTTTTCCAAAAAGGCTGTACCATTTTACATTCCTGCCAGCAGTGTGTGAGGATTCCAATTTCTCCTCATCCTCATCAACCCTTCTTATTTTCTGTCTTTAAAAAAATTTTTTAATTTATTCATTTTTGAGGGAGGAGGTAATTAGGTTTATTATTTTTTTTAATGGAGGTACTGGGGTTTGAACCCAGGACCTCGTGCATGCTAAGCACATGCCCTACCACTGAGCTACACCCTCCCCCCATTTTCTGTCTTTTTGATGCTAGCCATCCTAGTGTATTTCATTGTGGTTCTGATTTGCATTTTCCTGGTGACTAATGATGTGCATCTCTTCATATTCTTATTGGCCATTAGTATCTCATCTTTGGAGAAATGTCTGTTCAGATCTTTGCCCATTTTTAATTGGATTATTTGTCTTGTATGTTGCTAAACTCAGTTTGCTAATATTTTGCTGAGGATTTTTGCATCCATGTTTTAGTTTTCCTGTGATGTCTTTGTCTGATTTTTGTATTGGAATAATACTGGTTTCATAGAATATGTTCGGAACGCTTATGTTTTTTGGAAAAGTTTGTGAAGAATTGGTATTAATTCTCCTTTCAGTGTTTAATAGAAGTCAGTGGTGAAGCCATCTGGGCCTGAGCCTTTTTTTGTGCTTAGTTTAAAAACAAAATTGCTACTTCAATCATTTTATTTGTTTTTGGTCTATTCAGTTTATCTACTTCTTCTTGAGTTAGTTTTGGTAGTTTATGACTTTCTAGGAATTTGTCCATTTCATCCAGCTTATCTAATTTGTTGGCATACAATTATTCATAGTATTCCTTTATCTTTCTTTTTATTTCTGTAGGGTCAATAGCAACATTCCCTCTTTCATTTCTCATTCTAGTAATTTGAGTCTTCTCTCTTTTTCTTGGTCAGTCTAGCAAAGGGTTTGCTAATTTTATTGATCTTTTCCAAGAACCAGCTTTCATTTTACTGATCTCGTCTATTATTTTTCTATTCTCTATTTCATTAGTTTCCACTCTAATCTTTATTGTTTCACTTTTTCTACCTGCTTTAGGTTTAGTTTGCGCTGCTTTTTCCAATGTCTTAAGGTGGAAGTTTAGGTTATTGATTTGCCATCTTTCTTCTTTGTTAATATAGTCACTTTCAGCTAAAATTTCTCTCTAAATGCTGCTTTAGCTGCATCCCATAAGTTTTGGTGTGTTTGTGTTTTCATTTTAATTCATCTCAGTATTTCTAATTTCCTTTGTCATGTCTTCTTTGACCCACTAATTATTTAGGAAAGCGTTATTTAATTTCCACGTATTTGTGAAATTCCAAAAGTTTCTTCTGTTATTGATTTCTACTTTAATTCCACTGTGCTTAGAGTACACATTTTGTGTGACTCCAGTCCTTTTTAAATTTACTGAACCTTATTTTATGGCTTAGCATATGGTCTGTTCTGCAGAATGTTCTATGTGGGAAGAATGTGTATTTCGCCACTGTTGAGTGAAGTGTTCTATTATGTCTGGTTGGCTTACAGTGATGTTCAAATCTGTTCAAATTTCCCTGCTGATCTTCTGTCTAGTTGTTTTATCCGTTATTGAAAATGGGATATTGAAGTTTTCGACAATTTCTCCTTTCAGTTCTGTCAGTTTTTGATTTCATATATTTTCATTGTTAAGTGCATGTATGTTTATTATATCTTCCTGATGGATTGACCCTATTATTATAAATATTCCTCTGTATCTTAGTAACAATTTTTATCTTAAATTCTATTTTGCCTGATATTAGTATAGCTGCTCTGATTCTCTTTCAGTTACTGCTTGCATGGTATTTCTTTTTCTGTCCTTTTGTTTCAACATATTTGTGTCTTTGAATCTAAAATGTGTCTCTTACAGACAGCATGAGGTTGGGTCATGCTTTCTTATCCATTCTGCCAATCTCTACCTTTTATGAAAATTTAATTTAATCCATTTACATTTAATGTAATTACCGAGAAGAAGGATTTCTGCCATTTTACTCTTTGTTATTTTTTTAGCTGAATGCCTAAATATGCACCAGGCCCCTTATATACATTATCACATTTTCTTTCATACCCGTTTTATGACTGAGGAGTCTAAAATCTAGGAAGATGCAGTAGCAGCCCCAGTCATTGGTGGTGCTAAGCTATGAGACCAGCATTGCACCCATCAGCTCTTGCCTGGAAGTTTCCTCCCTGCTCCTCTAGCTTCACCCTTTACCTTCCCAGGGCCAATCTATACATGAAGCCAGAAGGACCCTTTAAAAATGTAAATCCAATCATAACTCCCTTGTTGATCCTCCAGCGTTTCCCACATGCTTCATGATGAGTGACTCCTGCTTACTGAACACATTTAAACACAGGGTTGCCTCCTTCCCACCTAGGCCACCTGAGAGCTCAGAGCACAGCTGGCTTTTAGTGTCACTTTCTGTCCTCTGAGTATGTTCCAGCCTAGGCCTTGGAAGAACCGTGAGGACTTCTTGGACCATGGCATCACCAGAGAGCTTCTGCACTTTACTTGCCTTTTTCCCCCACCTACACCCAACTTCACATTTTCCCCTTCTCTCCCCTTCTCCAGGCCATGAAGATTCTGCAAGATTTGCTCTCTGACATTTACTCTCTCAAGGCCACCACTGAAACCCTCAAGAAGGATGTGGCCATGCTGAAGGACATGTTTGACAAGGTAGACCTTCCCTACCATCCTTCATACTGGCTATGCTGCTTGGACCTCTGGTGGTTGGGGTGACAGGATAAATCCAGAAAGCCTGTTCTTAGTCAAGAACAACTATGGGGGCAAGGGAAGGGGACTGACATGGCCCAACTACTTGGCCCTTCCCACTGAACTCTCTGCAGCTTCTACCATGATCTTCACCCCGCTGTGTTAAGACATCATTTGTTAAGTGCCAGAAGCCTAGTTCATCTTGGCTTAGGCAAAATAAAAGAATTTATTTTCTCATTTACTAAAAAGTTCAGGGATGCCTTCAGATACAGCCAGATCCAGGTTCTCATATCACATCAACATCTCTCCCTCAGTGATGCTTTCATCTGGGTTGGCTTCATTCTCAGGCACATACTCCCCAAGTCTTGGAAACTCCAGGCTTGTAGTCCACCAACTTAGCAGAAAGAGGACATGTCTTCCAGAAACCAAAAACTCTGTTTACATTGAGAAGTGGAGTAAGCCTAGCGTTGGCATACATTCTAGCTCCCTCTATAGTCACAGGACATCAACCCAGACATGTTCTAACTCCTTACCATGATGCGGAAGGACATGGAATCCCTGAAGTGTGAGGTCACAGCTGGCAAATCAGAGCTGGGCTCAGAAGCCAGGCCTCCACACACCCATGCTGGTGTTGTGGCTGAGGTTTTACAACTTGCCCCTAAATAACATGATTTAATGTATCATCCCTAATGCACAAGTCAGTGTACATATTTAACTGTGAGAACTATGAGAACTTCAGTCTTGTCTGGGTAGCTTCCATCTGAGCAAAAAGGACACTGTCAGGAAACTCTCATGAAACACTAAAAAAGACAGTTGGCCAAATCTGTTTGGGAAACCATGCCTTCCCAGTCCACCTCTTGGAGATTCTTAATGTACTTTGGCCCATTAAAGGTTCTGAGAAGTCTTGCAAGACAGAAACCTGTTGAATGCTTTTTAAGCCTAACATTTCCCAAAATTATTTGCCCAGAGAACCCTTTCCCACTCACTTGGAAACACTTGTTTTGGAACCTTCTTTCTTCTCCATCTCTTAGTCACCTAGAGCTAAGGCCTTTGTGTTTGAGGAAGCAGGGCTGGGACCAGAACCTTTACCCCTGATCACAGGCTTAATTCATTTGACAGATGCATCTGGAAAAAATGGATATTTTCTCTGAAGATTTGAAAGGGCAGGACCAGAAGATGAGTGCATTACAGCAGGAAGTGGTGAGGGCCCAGGATCCATGCTCTCACCTGAGTCCCCCACTCTCCAGGCCTAGGGGTACTGGGGGTGGAGGGTGGGGTAAGGAGGAGAACACAGTCTGGAAGGGCCCATTTATTTGCAAGTGTGCAGGGCAGCATGGAGAAGGGAGCCACCAAGGGCACAGACCCTCTGGGTTCACAACCCTTTTTCCCACTCTCCTTCCCCACCCCCTAGGCTTCTCTCCAGAACAAGGTAATCACTATCCCCCAAACTGAAGACATAGTACTCTGGAGCAGCCTCCACGAGGCCATGTTCACCCAGGTAAGTGAAGGAGGGGGAGGAGGGGCAGAATCTGAGGGTTGGGGAAAGCTGGGTGAGGGAGGAAGCAGGGGCCTGCCCAGCCCCCGTCCAGCTTGGCCCTCTTTTCCGCAGGAACAGGCTCCATCACTACTGGAAGATTCCGATCTGTGGCAGGTTGTAGAAGAGCTCCCAGAGACTGACCTTCCCCAGACCACCAGGTACCATGAAGCAGTCAGTCATGGCCAGGTCTCTGAGGCCATCCAGCACCCCAAGTTCCTGGAGACTACCTGGCATCACCAAACCCAAGGCCCGCTACCGGAGGAGGGGTCTGTCCAAGCAGCTCCCCCCGCTGGGGTGCAGGAGCCCCAGGTGCTTGAGCCTGGGTCTGTGCCTGGGCCAGGACCTGCCCTGGGTCCTCAGCCCACACCACCAGGACCCAGGCCTGTACCACCAGGAGGCTGGCCTCCTCCCAGGGGCTTGCCCGGGACTAGCACTGGGCCTCTCTGGGGCTACTTCCCACCTGCCCAGCTCCATGGCTTTGGGGCCCCACTCCCAGCCACGGAGCTGGGCTCAGCTTGGCCTCATTCACTGCAGTCCGTGTATCACCAGAAAGGGACATTCAAGCTCTCAGCTATCTCAGAAAAGGAAGAAGATGACTCCCTCCATGTGGGAGTCCTTCAGGACAGAGCCCCCAGGGCTGGGGCCCCTAAGAAAGCACTCCATAAGGGACCCCCGCCTGCCTTTCAGCAGACAAAATACAACACTGCCACCGCGGCTGCAACGACTTCAGCAGCCCGGTCAGCTAAGGCTGCCACCAGGCTGGTCGAGGACGTCCCTGCCACCAAATTGGCAAGCAAAGCTATGATCACAGCCTCATCCGGGCCTTTAGGAGTCCTTGCAGACATCCTGGGTGCAGGGTCCTTCCGTAGGGCCATGACCTTCACCGATGACAGTGAAACGGAAGACTTGCAGGAGAATGACTTTGAGGACATCCTCTATCCCTCATTCTCTCCTGCCAATGTCCCTCCCGACACGGCCCTGTCCCAGGCCATGCTGGCTGCCAGACAGGCTGTGACCCCTGAAGACAAGAAGAAGGCTGTCAGGCATTCCATGAACAACATAGCCCAGATGCCTATTAGACACGACACCCTGAAAGGAGAGTTTGCCCAGATGTCATCCAACCTGCAGCAGCGCATGACTTATCTAGGTAGGCCTGGCCTGGCTCTAGAAAGGGTGACAAGGGCTCAGGTCCTCCCTGTGGCCTCTGACAAGCACCTCCTCTCCTTTGTTTAGTTCCGCCAACAAAATCTACATTCAACCATTAGCTATTCATTCCTTTGGCTTAAGCTTTAGCCTCTTACTAGTCTATTCTTTTACAATGAGTGTAAAAGAGGTCTTATCTTAGAGGAGAGGGACAGTTAGGGTCTAAAGTTGGTGCTTAAGGAGGAAAATCACATGTCAAAATTACTCTTGGAAATTCCCTTTCAATAGCCCATAAAACAGTACTGCTGTACAGTGTTTTGATAAGTCAAGATCAACCAGAGTGTCCCACAGCACTGAATAGACCCCAGATGAAGTGGTCAATTTGGGATTAGGGACAACTGCTGGACAAACATACGTATCCTTAAAAGATCACAGTCATGTTCTAGGTGGCAGTAGCAGTAAATTTATGCTCCTATTTCACGTCCATGATGGGCTCATGTTCACTGCAGGGAGCAGGGAGCGGGGAAGAATGGCCCACTCTAGTGGTTCTCAACCTTAAGATCACCTCAGCATTCTGGGGGTTTGTTAAGGCACAACTGCTGGGCCCAGCCCCAGAGTTGCTGACCTGTTGATCTGGGTGGGGCCCCAGAGCTTCCCTTTCTAACCTGTTCTGGGAGATGCTGCTCATGCTGCCTGCTGGTCCGGGGAACCCAGTTTGGGATCCACTGTTTTACCCTCTTTGAATCCTGATCTTGCTTTTTTGCTCTCTGCCAAGTATAATAGTTGAATTAGCCGAAGTCAGATCCATATGTGGCTGGCTCCACTCCTGATGGGCAGTACCGTTCCACAAATCTTGAAAAAGTAGAATTTTGCACAGCTACCAGTGATATCCTGTGGCACAGCTAAGGTTGTGATAGTCATCAATTTAAATATACAACGTAAAGCCATAATAACCCAAACTCTACTTCTGACCAGCTGCCATTTTTGTTAAGAAAACTAAGAGGGGGCGCAGGGTATAGCTCAGTGGTGGAGCACATGCCTAGCAGGCATGAGGTCCTGGTTTCAATCCCCGGTACTTCCATTAAGTAAATAAATTAATAAACCTAATTACCTCCCCCTCTCAAATAAAAATAAAGATAGGGTGTAAATGCATCTTGGCTGCAATTTTTCATACCCTCCTACCTATGTCATGTACATTACTTTTTGGCCTCTCATCTGAAACTGGATAGAGGGTATTTTTTTTTAACCCCTCTCCTTTGCTAAATCCTTCTTTCTATCTTGCTGTGGGATAATACACTTCATATACTCCCACAAGTAAGGTACTGAGGGCCACTTCTGGGAGGGGAGTAAATTCCAGAGAGGTTTCCCTAGGCCTGGGCTGTCTGCTAGGATAACCACAAGGCTGTCAGACACCTGAAACGGAGTGAGTTCAAGTTCCCATGTGTCCTAAGTACCAAGAGCAGACCGGATATTGAGGGCTTAAAACGAAAACAAGAATGTGAAATAGCTCATTAATCATTTTGTTGATCACATATTAAAATGATGCTATTTTGGATTATATTGGGTTAAGTAAAATATTTTCTTAAAGTTAATTTCACCTGCTTATTTTTAGATTTTTTTAATGTGGCTACTGGAAAATTTTAGATGACCTCAAAGGCCCCCAAGCTGACAAAACCTTTCTGTTGGAAGGCACTGCCTTGGACATCTCATAACAGAAACAGGTCGAGCTTTAGACAGAGCATCTTTCCCCATCCCTGTCCCCAACAGCCACCCCCTCTTTTGCTTTCAGCTAACATGGGAGCCTCTTCCAAGCTTGGGACAACCGTGGATGTATTGCAAGAAAAGATTGGCAACCTCCAGAAATCCAGGATGAAGGTCAGTGTCGCAGAGAGAAAAGGTATTTAAGAAGATGGTGACTTGAAGTGAGCTGGTGGCAGACTCCGTGACCAGAACTGGGAGGATGTCCTGCCCTCCCGGACCCAGCATTTGTCCTGGAGCTGAAAAGAGGCGTGGGGAGAGGGAGGGGCCCAGAAGACAGCTGCAGCCCCGTGGAGGCAGATCTCTCCAGCTGGTGCAGGGGTCCCAGTGTTGGGCAGCTGCATGGCCCCCCCAACGAATGTCTTAAGTGGCTTTTGGATGGCAGTCCGGGGACACACTTCAAGTCCCCTCCTGGCCATGGTGACCTGAGCAACAGAGGCTTTGGATGTCTGTGTCTCCCCTTTGTAGGAGGAGGAACTCGAGAGAATTTGGGGCCACCAAATAGAGATAATAAAGGACCACCACATTGTGCTGGACAAGGCGGTGGAGAAGCTCCAGAAGCGTCTGGATGACTTAAAGGTGTGAAGGTCTGGGAGGGCCTGAGGACAGATAGCTGAGAGGAGGGAAGCTTCCTCATTCAGACCTTCCCCAAGGGTTTCACAGACACCCAGAAGGCAGAACCAAGGACTCTACCCAGGCATTTTACTGTGTGTAAATTACACTTCCATGAAAAACAACCAAATCCCACCACCCCACCTCTACTCCCACACTTAAACAAGGGTCCTGAGCAGTATCTGTCTCCCCCACCGCTGGAGTCAGCCGCCCCTAGAAGGGTGCCTGGTGCGAAGTGAAGGCTCATAATGTGCTGAATGAACCAATGAATGAATAAGAGGATTTCTTGAGCCAACTGGTACTTTCATGACCTTTCCCATAAACCAGGTCGTTTCCCCTAAACCACACTTGCAGGGCCTTCCCAGAGCAGCAGAGTTCTGGTGATAAATGTGAGGACGGGTGCAGAGCGCCCACCAGGGGCTCACTCAACCAGACACTGTGCCCCGTGGGCTCGCTGAGCTGGCCGGATGACCCTGGCCTGACAGTCCACAGGACCAGTCCAGTCTGTGCCTTGTCCCAGGGGTGTCCCAGACCTTTGGAGAAAGGATTAAAGTCATTCCCAGTGGGAGGAGATGACCTTCCCCCCAGCATCTGAAGAGACAAAAATCCCAAACAGGTCCACCTGAGGTGGTTTCCACGGGGGGGCTTCTGATTCCAAGTCAGAGGGCTGTTGGTGGGATGCATTAGGATGCGGGCAGCAAAAGGGGAGGGCACAGCTCCCCCTCCCAAGATCGTTACACAGCATAATCAGGCTAGTGCGCACAGGGCAATTTGGACAGGAAAAGAGCTCATCAAAGGGGAACCAATTTCCGACCTAAGCAGGGGCAGCCCCTGGGCCACGTGTGGGCGCAGGATACACAGCTACAGGCTCAGACTTTTGTGAGTGCAGGATCAGGAACTGCTTCGTCTCCTGCCAACTCTGAGCCCTCATTTAGCTGCTGCTCTTCAGAGAGGCCGGGTTGCCGTGTCCTAGGGACCTATTGGTGTCCTTCCTGGACGGAGACTGGAGCCAGTTCGTTCACCACGTCTGATGTGTGTCCAGCACTATGTCCCACCCTACACAGAGGAGGAGGAGGTCAGAATCTGCCTCCAAGGAGCCGTCACTCGTTGAGAGAAACTCAAGAGGAGTTTGGCCAAACAGGCCAAATGGACCAAGTCGGCCTTTGTCCAGACTTCCTTCCTGCCCCTTGTGCCAGCAAGAACTGATTGTTTATAAAAGTGAGCCTTGGAAGGACCTGGAATGGGGCTTTGTATACAACACACTTCATTAAATAGTTCTTAAGTGAGTGTGGGCTGCCAGAGATCAGCAGCCCCTTGAAGTCCTCGCAGGACAGAAAGGAGGGAGGGCAGACATCTGGGCCCTGGTTCTGTCCCAGCCTTGGGGACTGTCACTGTTTTACCTGGATGCCTGGGAGAAAGTGTTCTGGGTGTAACAGGTGGTAGGAGAAATCCTCATGCACTCCCTGAGTCATTCAGCCAACGGCATGGAGCCTTCGCTCTGGGCTAGGCACCCTTCCGGGGCCTGGCGACACAGCGGTTGCCAAGACAGACACTGCCCAGGCCCTGTGTGTTTTTCGCGCTGGAGTGGTAGAATCTGTTTTTAACTGAAGTACAATTTATGCACAGTAAGACGTCCAGGCCTGAGGTATAAGAGCTCAATTCATTTTTGCCTCTTTATACACATGTCAGCACCACCCAGTCAAGATGGAAGCACTTCCCTCACCTCAGAGTGCTTCTCTTGGAGTGTTTCCCACTAAGAACCCAGCAGGAAGATGAGTGAGGACAGAACTCTCTTACTGGCTCAAATAACATGAGAACGTTGCCTTTTGCAAGTGGACAGGCATCTCTTATGAGCCAGAGACTGCACAACAAAGCCATTCTTGAAACAAACGGTTGTATCCAGGGCTCTGGCTTGGCGCAGGAGGGGACCGATACAATAGCTGATGAGTGTCGAATGCTGACTCTTTTAGGGAGATGCCGTGTCTAGTCCCCTCAGCATCTTCAGGAGGAGAGTGGTATGGATGCCATTTGAAAGAGGAGGAAACAGACTCAGGCAAAGTAACCAGCTGGCTGGGAGGCAGCTTGCTATTGTGGTTAGACAGGCCTGGGGTTGAAGCCCCATGCTGCCGCTTACTGGGTAGACCAGTTTCCTGAGGCTACTGTAACAGATGATCACAAACCGGGTGGCTGGAAATAAGAGACACATGCTCTGTCACAGTTCTGGAAGCTAAAAGCCCCAAATCAAGGTGCTGGCAGGGCCTTGCTCTGTCTGAAGGCTCTAAGGGAGGATCCTTCCAGCCTCTTCCAGCTTCTGGTGGCTCCTGGCGTTCCTTGGCTTGTGGACATATCACTCCAGTCTCTGCCTCTGTCGTCACATGGCCGCCTTCTCCATACGTGCATCTGTGTCTGCACATAGCCTCCTTATCCACGTGGCCAACCCTAATCCGCATTTTAACTAATTACATCTGCAAAAATCTATTTCCAAATAAGGCCATGTTCACAGTTTCTGGGTGGGTATGAATTTTGGGGGAGACTTAGTCAACTCCATACACGGGTAGCCCTGGCAGTGGAATTTGGAGAGTCCGGGCTAATCGCTCGTCTTTATTTCAGATTTTAACTAGAAAGAGCCAAGTGAGGGTCTAAGTATTAATGTTGACTCCAAAAGGTCAGGGCCCCCTGCAAATGTGGGGTTGGAGGAGGCAGCCTGATGCAAGGCCAAAGCAGGAGCTTCCTTCCATAACTCCACCACCCATCCTAGACCTAGGGACCCACCTGTGGGCAAGGTGGACGTGAAGGAACTTTGCATTAATTAGAATTAGGTTCAACTTTGGATAACATAAACCCCCCCAAATAACTGACTTGAACAGGGCATAAATGTATTCCTCCTTTACATTCAAGAGGCTCAGAGCTGGTATAGAACTCCATGGTATATGACTTCCAGTCACAAGGTCACCTCATGGCCCAAGATGGCTCTTGGTGGTCCGGTCATTAACTCTGCATTCCAGCCAGTGGTGAAGAGGACATCTACCCACTTTCATTTACACCTCAGTGGTCACACAAGCTATAAGGGACATTGGGAAATATAGTTACGATTCTGGGATGCCAGCTGCCAACTAAAAGTTGGAAGTTCTGTTTCTAGGGGTGAAAAGGAGACCAGCTATGAAGGGAAAAGTAGAAGACTGCTTCCAGCTTTGCAAGAAAAGTGACCCTACCTGCTGGGGACATGGTCTAGTGACTGTGAGCCTCTTCCCAAGCAGGTCAGCAGGGAGGGTCCAGTAAATGGAGAGAGGGCAGAATTAATGGAGGGAGTTGGTTCTTCATGGAGTCATGGGGATGGGAAATAAATAAGGGGTTTCCCTGACATGGGGCACAGCATGTGTGGCATAGAAGTCGCACTGATTGATGAATAGACTGTCGTTGTCACAGGGACTCCACCCCATTTCAGATCAGAAGAGATGCACTTGCCTTAAATGTCTAGGGACCCAAAGCATCCACACTGGTTTGTGCTTTCCTTCCTCAGGTCTTCCTTTCTTTCCTGTGTAGCAAAGCTCTATGATGGCATCTCCAAGGGGACAGCTTGTCTCAAGTCCCATGTTCCTTCCCTTCTGATCTGGGCACCTGGGGCCCTGGAGCCCAAGCCTCCCAATGCACCACCCAGCTGCTGCCCACTTGGCCCTGTTTTCCCTTCCTGGCACGCAGCAAGGGTGGATGTGGGAGGGAGATGCTATCCTCAGGGCTTCCGAGGACAGCTGACATGCCCTCTGCTTCTGTTCTCAGATTGTCCATTCTCAAATCAGAAACCTAGAAATGTACAAGGCAGACAAAAGTGTGATGGAGCAGGAGCTGAAAGAGGTGAGTGAGCAGAGATTCCTCTCCCCCCGCTTCCCCCCAAGCCCCAGCTCTCCCACGGAGGGAGACGGACTCATCCATCCAAGACAAAGCCAGGCAGACAGACTTGCAGAGTTTCCTTCCACTTTGTTGTATAGAAAGATTGGGAGAATTTCTCAAAAGTTGTCCCATCAATTCCTATTTTTAGTAATTCAGGATTAGTGACAATTTGTTATGTGAACTTAAAAACCATGCACCAACTTCTCCATCACAGGAAGAACTTGGCTTAGGTCTCACAGTTGTTTTGAGCCAACACAGACCCAAGGCTAGGTGTCCAGGGCCCCAAACTAGAAAAAATGACCAAAGTGATCTGATCTCCTGCAGCCTCCTGCTGTTCCCACCCCTGCCACCCTGCCTCCCTGAGTCCCATCTCTCTTTAGAAAGCTGACCGGAGTGCCCTGGCAAGCAAGGCAAGCCGGGCTGACCTGGACACAGTGGCAATGGAGCTGAATGAGATGATTCAGGGCATGCTGTTCAGGGTCGTGGCCAATGAGGATGACTGGAAGAAGGCTGTGGAAGAGCTGGGCAAGGACATACGCACCAAGGTGAGTACTCCTGTATTAGTTATCACTTGCTGCATAACAAACTATAAGAAAGATAGCCCCTTAAGACAGCAAATGTTCACAGTTTCTGAGGGTCAAGAATTGGGGAGTGGTTTAGCTGGGTGGCTCAGGATGTCCCATGAGGGAGCAATTAGGATGTCTTCCAGTCAGGGCTGCCATCATCTGAGGGCCTGACTGGGGCTGAAGGAGCCACATTCAAGATGGTGCCCTCACATGGCTGTGGGCAAGACTCCTCACTTCCTCATCACGTGGATGCCTCCTTAGGGCTGCTTGAGTGGCCTCGCACCATAGCAGTGAGTGGTCCCCTGAGAGCACATGGTCCAAGAAAGCAAGACAGAAGCTGCAACCCCTTCTTTGACTTAGCCACAAAGTCACACTCCATCATTTCTGTAATATCCTGTTGGTAACACAGGTCAGCCCTATTCACTATGAGAGGGGACCACCCAGCCACAAAGTCACACTCCATCATTTTTGTAATATCCTGTTGGTTACACAGGTCAGCCCTATTCACTGTGAGAGGGGACCACCCAGCCACAAAGTCACACTCCATCATTTTTGTAATATCCTGTTGGTTACACACCAGCCCTATTCAAGTGGAGGGCCTTGGAGGCCAACTACCATATTGCTCCACTCTGGGCAAGCAAAAGGGTGTGGTGGGGTGGAAGGGTGTCCTGCTGGTCATTCACGTGTTCATTCATCATTTACTGACCGCCTGTGAGGAGCCAGACCCTGGGGAAATATTGATAATCACATATTGAGTCACAGCCCCTCCCTGAATTTGTTGCATGCAATAGAGCACTAGAAACAGTCTGGCCAATCATATCAGTGTTGTGTGGTTCCTGCAGCCACATACAGGCTGGTATGAACAAGAGAGCTTGGATTTAGAATCAGGCAGGACCGGGTTTGAGTCCCAGCCCCTCCACAAGCAGCAGCACACCCTGTGTTATAGAACCTCACCAAGCCTTGGTTTTCTCATTTGTAAAATAAGGATTTATTCACTCTTCAAGCATGTATTGGGTACTTCCGATGCTTGTCACTTGAGGGTGTGACAATAAGAAAAACAGATAAGGGACACATTCATCACAAAATCACACACATCAAAGCAGAATTACAGCTGTAACTCAATTATCTACGGAACAACTGACCTTTTTTTTTTTCCTAATAATTCAACAGCAGGGTGGAAAAAAGTGGGACAGAGACTGTTCTAGATTAACCAAGTGTCAAGAGGCAAAATAACCAAAGGCAAACACACAATGCGACTTTCCTTGTCTCCTGGTTCAGGGGCTGCACTCTGCAAATGGGCTGGGAATTAGATCAAAGTCGGGAATGACTGTTCCTCATGTTAGATGTGATAACAGTGTTGCAGTTGCTAAAAATTGCTAAAATATTTGAGTGAAATGCCATGACTTCTGTAACTTAAAAAAAAACACTCCATCAAGAAAATAAGGCAGATATAGCAATGTGTTAATAGTTATTAAATCTAGATAGTGGATATTTGGGGGTTCATGGTTCTAGTCTTTTCACTTCTCTATGTGTTTGAATTTTTTTCCCTAATTGGAGGCTTTTTGGTAGTTTTGGTTGGTTGTTGTTTTAAGTAATTCAATACTCATTGCTTTTCTTTTCTTTGTGTATTTTTAATTGTGGTAAAAATTCACACGATGTAAAATTAAGCATTAATCATTTTAAAGTAGTGGGGGAGGGTATATCTCAGTGGTGGAGCACATGCTTAGCATATACGAGGCCGTGGGTTCAATCCCCAGTACCGCCATTAAAAAAGAATTAAATAAATAAATAAAATCTATTTACTCCCCCCACCAAAAAAAGAAAAAAGAAAAAAATCATTTTAAAGTAACTAATTCCGTGGCATTTGGTACATTGACAGTGTTGTGCAAACACCACCTCTATCAAGTTCTGGAACATTTCCATCACCCACAAAAGGAAACTCCAGACCCATTAATCAGTCACTCCTCACTCCCCACTCCCCCAGCCCCTGGTAGCCACTAATCTACTCTCGTCCCTATAGATTTGCCTATTCTGGACATTGCACATGAACAGATCATACGCTGTGTGACGTTTTGTGTCTGGCTTGCGCTCAGCATCATGTTTTCAAGGTTCATCTTTGTTGTAGCATGAATCAGAACTTCATTTCTTTTTTACAGCTGAATAATATTCTGTCAAATGGATAGGCCACATTCTGTTTATTCATCCATCTGTTGGTGGACTCTTGGGTTGTTTCTAACTTTTGACGATTGTGAAGAGCGCTGCTTTGAACATTCATGTACAAGTTTTTATTTGAACACCTGTTTTCACTTCTTTTGGGTAGATACCCAAGAGGGGAATTGCTGGGTCATAGCTATGTTTAACGTTTTGTAGGAGTGATATATTGTGATGTCTGCAGTGAACTCTCAAATGGTTCAGGAAACAAACAAATACACACATACATATGCATAGATAAAGAAAACATGGCAAAATGTTAAAAAATCGGTGAATTTAAGTGGATATATAAGAGTTGTTTGGACTATTCTTGCAACCTTTCTGTAGGTTTAAAAGTTTTTGAAATAGAAAAAAAGGTTTTGAAATAGGTAATTGGGGGAAAGAATCTTTTTTAAAAAATTATTATTTTTTTAACACTTGCTGAGCCCTGCTCTATTTAATTTTTAAAAAGAAATTTTTGGAGGGGTGGAGGTAATTAGGTTTGTTTGTTTGTTTGTTTGTTTGTTTATTTTAATGGAGGCACTGGGGATTGAACCCAGGACCTCGTGTGTGCTAAGCACACTCTCTACCCCTGAGCTACACCCTCCCCCCAAATGGCTATTTTTCTAACCCTAGCATTGCTCCTATATTTGAAATCTGTAAAGAAGAGCTTTCCCTCATTAGCTTGAGCTGATCACCCTGAAGTCTGTTTCTTGCAGGAAAGACGGGAACAATGATGGGTTCTCTCCTTTAATTACCAGTTTCCAGGGTAAGGCATCGGTGCAGCCACTTCTAATACATGGCGGCAAATGAAATTTTCTATTTTTTTTTACTTTTTTTGTAGGTGTCACCATGAATCATGGGTTTTTATATATTCAGTTTGTTCAGTCAGTTAAGTTACTACTTTGTCACTCACATGGTCTCATTTTAGGCCTGAGAGCTGGCCCCTGAGCCCTTGGACATGACCCTTTGTCTTGAAAAGCTGTCCTGCTTTCTTAACTGACAAGATGTTCCAGGCTCATCTTCAACTAGTCCCTTCCTTGACCCGAATCAGCCATTTCTCTGTGGATTCTTGGTTCCTTCTGTGAGGAATGGTGGTTAGAGACCAAAATCTGGGCACTTTCAAAATTCAAAAGTCCCACCAAGGGAAACAGTCTGGCAGTTTCTCAAAAGTTAGGCATAGAGTCACCATATGGCCCAGCACTAGGTAAACACCCCAGGGACACGAAAGCAGCTCCCACAAAGCAAACGTTCACAGCAGCATTATTCATGGTGGCCCCAAAGTGGAAACTACCCAGATGTCCATCAACAGATGAATAAATAAACGAAACATGGCCTGTCTGTACAGTGGAATATCATTCAGCCATGAAAAGGAGTGAAGTACCAATACACACTACAACATGGATGAACCTTGAAAACCTGATGCTGGGAAAAAAAAAGATACAAAAGGATACAGATTGTGTGATTCCATTTATGTGGCGTGTCCAGAAGAGGCAAATCCATAGAGACAGAAAGTAGATTAGTGATTGCCCATACCTAAGGGTTTGGGAGGAAATGAAGGGTGACTTCTACTGGGTATGAAGCTTCTTTGGGAATAACGAAAATGTTCTAAAATTGATTGTGGTGATGGTTGCACAACTTGTGAATGTGCTAGAAGCCATTAATTGCTGGGAGAAGGTAATTAGGTGTATTTATTTATTTACCTAATTTTTTTTTAATAGAGGTACTGGGGACTGAACCCAGGACCTTGTGCATGCTAGGCATGCACTGTCACTGAGCTTTACCCTGCCCCCTTCTTGAATGTATACTTTACCCTCAATAAATATGTGTTGAATGTGTGAAGATCAGGCATCTTGGAACCATCAGGAAAATATTTCTCAGGCCTGTAGGCCTGCAGGCCTGCACTTAAGCAGTAGGGGTGGTTTATTTTTTGGAGGCAGTAACTGATGGTGTTTCCTTGCCTTGGCTTCTGGGACGCTCACTGTGCGGCTCCCCTACAGCAAGACAGGCATGAAGGGTATGAGCCTTAACCCAAGCGTTGTCTTTCTCCCTTTTCTCAACTCCCTCACTTTTCTTGATTAATCTTGTTACACTCTATGGAGCTTTGCAGGTTGCTGCAAGTCCTTTTCTGGAGTGAGGCAAGGTGTGAATTAACTGACTAATACTCTTTTCTTCCCTTTGGCCGTTTGCAGCTGGTTCACAGTGATTTGGATGATCTAAAGAAGGACATGGACGAGGTCTGGAAAGTAGTCAGGAAGCTGCTGATTGAAGGCCTCCGATTTGACCCCGACAGTGCTGCTGGCTTTAGGAAGTGAGCCCCTCCTGGGTAGGGGTGCAGCTCCCAGAGGCCGGGGAGTCCCTGTCTCCTGAGAGGAAATGACAGGGGTATCCCAGCGGATTCTGGAAGGAATGATTCCGGAACTGTGGACCCAGGGAAAGGGGGTGGGGCGGGGGATGGGGCTGAGAGCATCCAGGGAGTCAGAAGTGGGCAGCTCTGGCCTTGGCTGCAGAGGGGACTCCAGATGAGCATGTGCTCCAAGGCCCTTTGGCTACAAAAGAGGAAACTGAGGCTTAGAGAGGGAAGAGGCCATGTGAGGCCACACAGGGAGCCTGGGCAGATCTGGACCAGAGTGAGGCCTCCAGTCATTCAGACAGAGCCTCAGGCAGAGGGACTCAATGTTCCTGGGGGAGGCGGGGTCCTGTCCTCAGATCACCCTTCCTGCTCCCCCATGTCCACCCTGTTTTAAAGCCCTCCATTGTGTTTGGGGTGAGGAGATAAACTACACACACTTTTATCCCTCACTGCAGCCCCAGGCGGCTGCAGATGGGAGTCAGCAGGGGCCAGCAGAGCTGAGCTGAGCCAGGCTGGGCCAGTGGGAGTAGGATATGGCGGGAAGCCCCAGCCCTGAGGCCCAGATGGACCTGTAGCCTCCTCCAAACACTGCCTGGGGCAGGGCTGGCCCTTAGGGCCTGGCCGGTGTGGCAGCTGATGGACCTGGGTGTCTTCCAGGAAACTGTTTGAGCGGGTGAAATGCATCTCTTGCGATCGGCCTGTGGAAATGATGACTGGCCCGTAAGTTCCCCTAGGGGTCATCTGGGTCCACCCCTCCCATCTGGATTCCTCCCTCACCCTCTAAACCCTGCGGTGCCTGTGGGGTTCTGTATGCATCATGTCATTAGCTCCCCGCCCTGGGCAAGGTACTGGCATCTTTCTTCACCAGCCGTGTCGGGTACCTTCTGTGTCCAGGGATGGAGTTGGCTCCAAGAGGAAAAAGATGGAAGGAAACAGGAAAAGCTGAACTTGGCGGGGCTTCCTTACACATATTTTTATGGTTTAATACTTCTGTTTATTTATTGAGGTGAAATTCATGTAACATAAAATCAACCGTCTTAAAGTGAACAATCCAGTGCGATTTAGTGCACATTCACCTCTAATTCCAAACTGTTTTCATCTCCCCAGAGGAAACCCCAGACCCATCAGCACTCACTCTTATTCCCCTCCTCCGGCCCCTGACGACCACCAGTCTATTCTCTGTCTCCGTGGATTGGCCCACTCTGGACGTTTCATATGAATGGAACCATACACTATATCGCTTTCGTGTCTGGCGTCTTTCACTGACCATCACATTTTCAAGGTTCATTCATGTTGTCCCGTGTGTCAGCGCTTCATTTCCTTTTATGGCTGAATAATTTTCCATTCTGTGGACCGGCCACATTGTGTTGATCCATTTACACGTTAAGGGACATTTGGGTTGTTTCCCCCTTTAAGTTTTTGTGAACAGTGCTGCTGGGAACCTGTGTGGACCTGTATTTGTTTGAACCCGTGTTTTCAGTTCTTTTGAGCATAAACCTTAGTATGCAAGTGCTGAGTCATATGGTAACTCTATGGTTAGCTTTTTGAGGAACCACCAAACACTCCAATGGTGGTTTAAGAGCCACGACCTTGCAGCACGCGCGGCCTCTGCATGGCTGGCCTGTTCCTGGTGGCCGGTGAAGCTCACCACCCCACACCCGTCCATGTGCATGGAGAGGCTTGGGAGCTATGTCCAGAATTCTTCTTTTAAACCACAGATATCTGGTTGTATCATTATTTATAATATTTTTTAAAAAAGAAGAAGAAAGGAAACGATCTGAAGTGGTTAATGAGTCACAGTACATTCACATCAGCCAGTAGGGTGAGTTGTAGAGGCCCACCTCACACAGACCCTCTGAGATGTGGAAATGTTCCGTAGCTGCACTGTCCAGTGCAGTAGCCGCTGGCGAGTGCTTGAAAGATGGCCAATGTGGCTGAGAAACTAAATGTTTAATTTTACTTTAATTTAGTTCATTTAAATAATTTAAATGAGGCCCGTGGCTGCCACATTGGATGGCACAGTCATGGAAGAATATTGAATGACCTAGAAGAATGTTTGCAATCACTTAAAGGAGAAAACCCAACTGGGATGTGTGTTATGATCCTACTTTTGTTAAAAAAAAATAAACATGGAAAAATGCTGGAAGGACACATATCAAATTACTTGTCACGTGGTTACAGTGCTTTCCTCGTTTTTTTGTGCTTTTCTATACTTTCTAAAATGCTGACAATCAATACGCATTACTCTACATTTTTATTGTGGCTTAACATACATACAGCAAAGTACACAAACATTTATTATACAACCTGGCGAGTTTTCACATGTGTACACACCTTGGGAACCACCACTCCGATCAAGATGTAGAACAGCTCCAGCTCCTCCAAAGCCTGATGTTTTACTTTATCTTTGTTTTTATTTTATCTTTTTAATAATTTTTAAGGGGAGGAGGTAATTAGGTTTGTTTATGTATTTATTTAAAAATTTTTTTAATGGAGGTACTGGGTATTGAACCCCCGGACTTCAGGCATGCTAAGCGCGCACTCTACCACTGAGCTATACTCTCCCACTATTTTTATTTTTTGTATTGAGGTAAAATGCGTGTAATATAAATTAAGCGTTTTAAAGTGAACAGTTCAGTGGCATTAGTACCTTTACAGTACTGTGCAGCCACTCCCTCAATCTAATGCCAGGACCTTTCCGTCCGCCCAGAAGGACACCCCATGCCCGTCGGCAGTCCTCCCTGTCCCCCTCCCTCCGGCCCCTAGCAGTCTCCAATCTGCATCCTGTTTCTAGGATTCATCTGTTCTGATTTTTATTTTTATAGTCAGAACAGTTGTTCTTTATGACTTACAAAAAGGCATAGCGGGCTCTGTGCCATGGACCTTTCTGGAGGGAAGGCTGTGATTGAGGGTGGGCTTCCTGGAGGAGGTGGCCGCGCAGGCCACCCAATTAACTCTTGTCCTCCACAGGCATCTCATCACCATCCGCAATGCCCACCTGCTGTCGCGACGGCAGCCAGCCAGTGCCAACAGCCACGAGTACCTGCAGCAGCAACAGATGAGGTGAGCGGGGGGGGGGGGTCCGCCCCTCAGAGGTCACCCAGGAACCCAGGCACCGGCAGAGACATAAACTCCAGCCCCCAGATGACTGTCCCAGGGCACTGCCCGCCATCTGCAAGGGAGATGTCCAGGTGGTGGAGCCGCAGGCGGGCTCATGAAATGACCATGGGGAGAGGAACGGACACTTTTATCGGGCGTCCATAATGGGCCAGGAACTGTTAGGGGAGGGTCTCTCACTTAAATCCCACACCCCCTTGTGAGCTATGGTTGGTAGGCCTGCTTCCTGCTTCTCGCTGGGAAAAGTGAGTCACAACCCTTGAGGCTTGCTGTGGCCAGGCAGGCTAAACGCTTTGACAGACTTGACCTCGCTGAATCCTTATACCTTCCCTTAGAGGTCATTCTACTATCACCCCATTTCACAGTTGAACAAACTAAGGCTCAGAGAACTTCAGCAGCCTGCCCCAGGTCACAGCTAGTAAGTGGCAGAGCTGGGCCCTAAGCCTGTGGGTAGCTGGGCCCTAAGCCTGCGGGTTTCCACCGTGCCAGGCTGGCTCCCTGGGCCCCAGCTCCACCCCATCCTACTGACGTCCCGGGGCTTCATGGGTGCTTCCTGCACCCAGGCCTGAGGGTGCGTCTGGCCAGGTGAGGGAGTGATGCTGAGCAGCAGCCACAGCCACACGGAGGGGAGAGATGTGGGGTCTGTGCCTGACGCCCCCACCTTCCCTTGCCTGGCTCCTTGAGATGAGGCCAGACCAGGGCTTCATTTCTGGGGGAACACAGGTCTCAGTTCTTTGCCTCTGCCCCCATGGTGCCTGTCTGTATCCACCCACCAGGCCCCAGGCCTGCCTGGCTGCATCACCCAAACTCAAGCTGGAAGAAATTCCAGTCTTCTCTTGCTAATGGTCAGGCCCTCGGACCCTACCTGAGGCTCCTCTGGGGTGGAGGGATCTCCCGGTGGCTGCTGACGCCCCTGCCCGGCCCCAGGGAGCAGCAGCAGCTGCAGAAGCTCCAGAATGTGGGAGCCCAGGAGGAGTGCCTGGGCTCGCTGGGCTCTCAGCAGGACTGGGGTGATGGCCCTGGAAACGACACCAACCTCAAGTTCAAGTCGTGTGAACTGTCGACACTCTACCCCTACGGGGACCCCGAGCTGCTGGACTATGACACTGTGAGTCAGGCCGCAGCCCCTGGTGGCAGGCGACCCCGGGGGAGGCCGGGCCCTGCCTGCCTCTGTGTACCGGAGAGACTGGAGGACGCTCCCTGACCTGGGGCCTGGGCCGTCCAACAGGCCGAGGTAGACATCCTGGGAGTGGACGGCATCCTGTACAAGGGCCGAATGAGCAACAAGGACAAGATATGGCCGGTGGCTGGCATGGAGAAGGAGCTGGCAGGTGAGGGGTGTCAGGCCTGCCCGGGTGTCCTGCTTTTGCTGGGCAGCCTGAGGCCCATTGCAATGCAGATGAGACCCAGAGATGGCAACGTCCCTGACTAGGGGGGAGTCCTCACACAGCCACATGCAAAAATGGGATTCTACTGTATGCCAGATGCTGCATCAGAACAGCATGTGGAAAAGGATGCTGGGGAGGGGTGCCAGTCGGCCTCCCCAAAGAAGGAATACTGGGCAGTGGTGGGAGAGTTGTGACAAGGTATGCTGGTCCAAGAAGGAGGCCCTGGACTGCTCTCCTGAGGCCTCTGAGGAGGGGATAAGCTTAGCTAGATGAGGGGGTCAGGTGGGAGGAGAGCGGTCCAGGTGGTGGGAATAGCAGTGCAAAGGCCCTGTGGTGGGTGGAAGGCAGTCACAGGAACTCAGGAAGGTAAGTCTACCTGGAGTGGGAAGATTAGGCTGGGCTGGGCGTGATGAGGAAGAGACATGGACAGACCCTGGTGGCCTGTGTCCTAACTGTCATGGGTGGAGGAGGGTTGGGCTGGGGGACACATTGGAATCAGTCGCTCTGCTTGCTGCAGTGTTGCAGCCCCCACTCTAGTTCTCTTCTACTGGGGATGCAAGGACTCAGCTCCAGCACTGGGTCAGCAGCACCAAAAGGGGTACTTTCTCTGCCTGCCCCTTTGAGATTTTCCCCCTTTGGGAAGAGGGGTTCCGCACACTGTGCTAATGGGGCTGGTCCAGGAGCCCCAAGGTGGCCAGAGGGTTAACTTCTGCCTGTAGTATCCTTCCTCACCCCGCTTTGCCCCCATTAACTTGAGAATATAAGACACATAAGAAAAGGAAAGGTGACTCTCGCTGAGGGTGCTGGACAAAGAAGTCAGTGCCCTGCTTTAGTGTCCTGGGGCTGCAACAAATGACCACGAACCAGGCAGCTTAAGACAAAAGAAATGAGTTCAGGAGGCCAGAATCCAAAATCAGTGTGTTGACAGGGCTGTCCTCCCTCCAAAGGCCCTGGGAGGATCCTTCCTGCCTCTTCCAGCTTCTGGGGCTCCAGGCATCCCTGGGCTTGTGGCCCTATCACTCCAGTCTCTGCCTTCGCCCTGGATCTCCTCGTCTTCTGTCTCTTATTGGGTTTAGGGCCCAGCTTAACCCAGATGCCCTCATCTCAAGATCTTTCACTTAATCTCATCTGCAAAAACCTTTCTTTAAATAAGGTCACATTCACAGGTTCCAGGGGTACATGTCTTTTGGGGGCTGCCATTCAACCCACTCCCTGGTCTAGGAGGGGAGGACACCATATCGAACACTGTGTTCTTCCCTAGGGCACAGATGTGGCCCTGGGCATGTTAACAGCTCCTCCTGGATGAGGCTTGGCTGCTTCAGGACCCTGGTCTCCGATGCTGTCAGGAGGGACTCAGGCTGGGCTCTGGGGTCACCAGGCAGGATAACAGTGGTGGCTAATATTTAATGAGCCCGACCTCCTGCCAGTCCCTGCTCTGCTTCCTTTCACCCTGAAACAGCTGACGAGGCATTGCACGGATGAGCAGGTGAGAGCCGCTTGCTGGGAACACACCCTCAGCGGAGGGGCTGGGATGTTCTACACACCTGACCCTCATCTCCAGTCATCCATCAGACGTTGCCCCTCTCCACCCATCTCCCCCAGGGCTGTCTTCACCAGCATTCAATGAATGGCCTAAAACCCGCTCTGACCAGTCCCCTCCCAGCCTGGAACCCATCAAGATGAGTGTGCTATGGCGCTGTAACAGAGTACCACAAACAGTAGTTTAAAACAACCCAAATTTATCTTAATTCTGGAGGTCAGAAACCCAAAATGAGTCTTACAGGGCCAAAACTGAGGTATCTGCAGGGCTAGTTCCTTCCAAGGCTCAAGGGGAGACTCCGATTCCTGGCCGGTTCCTTCCAGAGGGCTCCCGCATTCCTTAGCTTGCAGCCCCATCTCCTTCTGCCATCTTCTAAGTCATCACTCTGACCTCAGCTTCCGTCCTTATGTCTCCTTCTCTGACTCTGACCCTCTGGCCTCCACTCCTGAGGACCTTGATTATATTGGGCCCACCCAGAGAATCCAGGATCACTTCCCTATCTCGAGATCCTTAACTTGATCACGTCTCCAAAGTCCCCTCTGCCGTGTCAGGTGACATACTTACAGGTTCTGGGGATTAGGACAGGGACATCTTGGGGGGCACTGTCCCCCAAGTCTAGACTCCTTGGCTGATCTTCAGGCCCCTTGCCACCCACCTCCGGCCTCATCTGCTCCCTCCACCCTCACACAACTGCTCTCTCTCAACGATCCAGGCTCTTCCCCACCGTGGGGCCTCTTGCACGTGCTGTGAGCTCCACCTGGAAGCCCTAGAGAATGCTTCTCATCTGCCAGGGCTCCAGTGCCCCCTCCCGTTAGGAGCCTCCCAGCTCCCTGTCTTCTGGCTCCTGCAGAGGCGGGAGAGCCATGGAGGAGGTGCTGGAAGGAGCAGGTGTTGGGGTCAGGTGGTGGGTTCGGGTTTGGGCCTGTGTAGTCCACGGCGTCTGTGGGCCTTGGAGAAGAGTGCTGGCTCAGAGTTGGGTTCCCAGGCCTTGCTGGTTCTCGATTTTGAACCTGTATCCCAGGCCCACATTCCTCACCTTGAAGGGAAGGAATGTGACAGTCTCATCAGTCAGCTGGTTAGCAGGTGCTACCCCTCTGTGGAGGGGTCCAGGTGCCAACCAGCAGTCAGAGCGGGCGCCAGGGAGTGACTCTCAACTGGCCATTTGCTCTTACACCAAACCCACAAAGCACACGGGAGGCAGTTCTTAGCCCAGGTTCAAGGGATGTGACCCAAGCTGTATGGATCCCAAAGGCTAATGGGGAATCAGGGTGGTCAGCTGGGCGCTCCAGGGTGCAGACTATGAGACAGAGTTAGAGATACAAGAGGTCTGGGATGGGGAGGCACTAACAAAGAGGAGGAAAGACGTGGGGCCAGGCAGAGAGCCCCTCAGACCGTGTGCAGACCTGACAAGGTCCAGGCCAGCCTAGTGGGGCGCTTCTAAGCGAACACTGCCCAGCAGACGGCCAGGACCTGTGCTCCCCTACTGGCCAGAAGTGCTAACAGCCCCGGAGGGGCCAACAGCTGGAAGTGGTCAGCTTCCTGTGCTCCTTAAAGCTGAACGGTCAGCTCCTTCTTAAAGGGAGAGCCGAGCGGCACCTCCTGCTGCCACACGGTCCTGGTCACTCAACTGGTCACTCCTGAGCCCTCCTTGGTGCCGGGTGTGTTTTTGATGCCACTGGGGAGACCTGGTGAGGTCAAAATAGAGTTACTACCCCCTTAGAGTTTTGACTCCATGAAGGATGGTCAGATGTAAATGAATAAGTAAGTTCAGCGAGTGAATGAGATGAAACATGGAAATGGGGGAGAGAATAATAGGGTGGAGGGGTGACCCTGTGGAGCAGCTGATCTGAAGGACTCTCTGAAAAGGGACATCATGAGGAGACAGCCAGGGAAGGACACAGCCATCCAAGCAGAAGGAACAGTCAGGGTCCTGCGTGGGAAGGAGCTCTGTGCCCCTGAAACATGTCCAGACCCCTGTGCCCTTCTCTGCCGCCTGGGAGTCCCTCCCCTCTCCTCCTCCTCCTCCCAGCATGTTCCCAACTCATGCATTGGCCTTTGGTCTGCATGGCCAGTCATGGTGATTCTTGGCTGGACTGGGAGAAGGGGACGCCTTGGATTCAAAAGTAAAGGATGGAAACAGACCCCAAAGGCCACATAAGGTGACCCCTCCTGTAATGTGTCCAGAACAGGCAAATTGCCAGAGACAGAAAGCAGATCAGTGGTTGCCAGGGGCTCTGGGGAGGGGAGAATGGGGGGTGACTGCCTCCTGGGTATGGGTTTCTTTTTGGGGTGATGAAATGTTCTGGAACCAGGTGGAGATGGTGGTGGCACAACCTGGTGAATGAACTTAACGCCACTGATTGCTCACTCTGCCTGGTTAATTTTATGTGAATTTTAGCTCAACAACAACAAAAAATGTGCACACACAAAAGCTGAAGGGCAGGAAGGTGAGGGTGGGGGTATTCCGGGAGTCTGGCTGTGGCGGGAATATTTAAAGAACCGCCAGACCCGCCAGGCCAGCATTTCTCTTGTAACTTTGTCTCTTTCCTCCCTGACCTGGAGTTACCTTCAAAAAGCCTCTTCCTAATATCTCAGCCTCCAGAAGCCTTACACTCAAGAAAGTGGGGAGTGAGAAAGGGTCTTCCATGCACAACTGGGTGGGGGTTGGGTGTGTGAAGAGACAGTGTAGGGGCAGCAGTGCGGGGGTCCCACCAGAGCGAAAGGGCTTTTGAAGGGGCCAGAGAACAGGACGTGGGCCTCCAGGGTGAGGCTGAATTCTGGCAGAGCCCACCCCCACCCCCGTCTCTTCCCCTTTCTTTTTCACTAAGCTGTGAAGGTTCTGCATCCCCCGGCTCGAAACCCATATGAAGGTGTGCACCCAAGTGCCTTATTCGGCTCCATCTACCCCCATGAGTATCTGCCTCCCACCTCCCTGGCCCAGCTGGGATTCTGGCAGGGTCTCTGGTGCCCCTAGTCCCAGCCTGGGGCTCTCCTGCCCCACCTCATCCATCTCTCACCTTCTCTGCCTGTACCTGGGCCAGTGAAGGTCCCTTGAGTGGCCCCCACCCAGCACCCAGCACCCTGGCCAGGGCCTCCAGCAGTCCTGGGCTCCAGCTTCCCCTTCAGCCAGGCTTCCTGGCCCAGGCACCATCCCAAGCGTCCAGGTGTCCAGCCGGCTGCAAGGGTTGGATAAGGGAGGGCTCGTGAGCTGGGTTGGAGGTGACTGAGCTCATGGCTTCCCGGGTTCACATGACCGTGTACCCAGCATCTTTGAGCGCTCTACAGTGTACACTTCCTCCTTCCACATCTCACCCAGTCCTATCTCGCCCAGGTGAGGTGGGCACAGCTAGCTCCTTTTAAAGTGGGGAAGCTGAGGCCCAGCCACCTTGAACTGGGGAATCCCAGATCCTGGACTCCATGGCCTGTGTCCCCTCAGGTGCTCTGCTCTCCTTTAGAGTCCACCTCTGGTTTCATTTATCTTGGGCTGACGCCCCCTCCTCTAGGAAGTGTAGGGTGCCTGGGACTGGGTGAGCTGAGGTAGAGTCTTGGGGTGTCTCTCCTTGGTGGGGATGACCCCATCAGGCCAGCCTCTCTCCAGAATGTTCTTGGGACACATTCTGGGTCTCTCCTGCCCCTCCCAGCTTTGCCTCCCCATGCCAGCATGGGATCAGCCGCTTCAGGCCCCCATTCGATGATGCCAGCTCCGCCACCGTCTCTGCCACCCCTGCCACTGCTGCCACCGCCGATGCCGTCCCTGCAGGATCCCCAGCCGGCCTCAGGGCCTGCCAGGCACCTGAGGCCACTGCGCCTCGAGTTCCGAGCCAGCACGCAGTCCGCCAAGGAGCCCACCAACCGGTGAGCCCTGGGCTTGTGCCCCGACAGCGCCTGCGTCTCCTCCCCGCCCCTCCCACCCCTGCCTCCGGCGGAGACCACGCCCTGAGCCTGGCCTGGGGAAGGACTTAAGGGAGGGGTCTCCATAAGGAACTCTTTTTGACCCAGTGGCTGTTTTCACCTGCATATAAATACACACAACACAACCCTTCTCATGCTGTTTCATGGGGGGAACACAGCTTTTGAAACTGAATTCTCTATTAAACCCATTTAATTCCTTGACCAATTTTTAACACAACACAGTTAAAGTGGTTTTAAAAACACTTTCCCTTTTATTTTGCTGAAATGATTTCATCAGAACCCGTTCCAATTACAGCTAATGCTGCTGTCCATTTTCTTTGGGGACCATTATTTCTACCAGGACCAGCATTCTCATGGGAACCAAATTTTACTGCGTGCATGCTTTTTTGTGTTGATTGTTCCCACCAGTAATTACCGTTATGAATTGGATATTTAAAGAATCTGATTGTTTGTATTTACTTCTGTTTAATCCATGAGGCGCTTGGAGCAACAGCCTAGAATCCTCCAGGACTGCTCTGTCCCTGTGAGGACTGGGGCCCTGCACCCTGTTTGGCGTCTCTCTGGTCCTTTGGTTCCCTTGCTAACTGAGCACGAGCTTGGTGGAACAAAGGGCAAAGCAGGAGGTCAAAGCGTGCTGATTTGGCAGTTCAGTGGCCGGCCTCGGAGCGCAGAGTGCAACCCTCACACCTGCCTCTCCGGTCCTGCACCCTGGCGTGGTTTCTGCCCCCAGGATGGTTTATTTGTCCCTCCTCTACCCTCTCACCTTCTCTCTTTGTCTCTTTCCATCCCCTAGCTTGTCTAGTCGCGCCCTCTACCCCTTGTGTACTCCTGACATTTCTATCACATGCCACAAAGACTAAAAAAATTTTCCCTCTGTGTGGTTTTGGGGCATAGGCACCCCCCAACATCCACTACAGGCCACTGGGACAGTGGAGCGAGTCAGGGAGTGGAGTGGGACTGAGCTGCCCCAGGGGTCCCCCTGGAGGAGCCAGGGTGCTGGCATGAAGGAGCCCTTGGGCCTGGCAGTCAAAGGAGTCCTGGACACTGTGTGCCTGCCCCTTCCCGATTGTCCCCCAGTCTTCCCACCCCGCCCCAGCTCCTCACCTGCGACCCCTCCTGGACCTGACTTCTCTTTTCTTTCTCTAAGGACTGTGTCCAAATGAGGTCAAGCTCTTCCTAACCCAGGTGACCCAGGTGACCTAAATGTCCATGCCACCTTGGGGGACACTGGCCAGTGCAGCCTGGCCCCACCCCCATATCACAGATGAGTATCTTTGTCAATTTCTCCCCAGAATAAAATCTTTCACTTTTCTGATTGTGGATAAAGGTGATTTGGCCCTGTGCTCTCTGCAAGGGGTGGCCTTGCCTGCCCCACATGGGTGGGTGAACCTGCTGGCCCGTCTTCGGGCCATCACCCCAGGGTCAGTCTCCCAGAGCTCACCACGGCTGAGTCTCAGCAGAGATCCATAGCCTCCCTTCCTCCACCACACATCCCACAGTAACAGAGTGCCCCATGCTGCCCTGGTCCTGTGTGGTGGGCAGGTCAGGGGCCCAAAGGACAATGGTGTGACTTGCCCAGGGTCATACAGTGACTCCTCAGCTCTCTGGCCACCTGCCCAGGAGGCCCTAACTTCTTCGGTGCTGTACACAGCTATGAACAGTCCGACTTCCATCCCCTCTCCCATGGCAGAGAAGGGAGGTGCGGCTGGGTTCGGAGAGACAGAGATGGAGGCTTCTGGGGAGGCACCTTGTGCCAGGTATGGTCAGGCTTGTCTCCTGCAGCCCTGATCCTTGTGGAACTAACAGGCACCCAGGCCCCACTCTCTCAGCCCCTCATAGCTGCCTTTCCAGCCCATTTCTCAGATTTACCAATGAAATCAGTGCTGGAGTGGGTTCCTGCAGCCCAGGGAGGGAGTGAGGCCCACGTAGGTCACTGTGCAACCATTTGCAAACTGACAGGCCTCCTGGGTGCTCTAGAAGGTGGGGAACTGCAGACCCAACTGTAGCCAGCCAGGCACAGGCCCGAACATGGCAGTTCTGTCCCCCGTGGGGGTGGTGGGGAAGCCAGCCTTTGGCCTGGTCCCAGGTGGGAGCTGCAGGCAGAATCCTTGCCAAGGACGTGGCAGAACACCCCCTCCCCTATTCCAGCCCCAGGGGGTGGGACCCACAGGCCTGGGCAGCTGGGAGGGAGGCACTGCTCCTACTCCTAGGGCTGCTGCTTCAGGAGAGTGGCCCACCCACCCCATCCCAGCAGGGGAAGGTGCTTGGGGAACAGACAGACCAGGGACGGGGTCTGTAGAGTTGGACCCAGTGCCCCCACACCCCTAAAAGAGCTGTGTTCTTTTAAGGCTCATTTGAAATACATATATTGCCAAATATAAGCTGTGATTAAGCAACTAGAGATGTTTCCAAATGCAGGAATTGGAAATAGCCTTGCCTCAAAAGGTCTCCTTTTGGCCAACCCAGGCGGCCTCCCCGACAAGGACACCAGGAGGTAACTGGAGTCAAAGCCCTGGTCTGTCCTCAGATGAGTCCTGCTATGAAAAGCCCCTCAGAGACCTCCAGGGCCACAGCAGCCCCGCCTGCCGCCGGTTGGGGGCCAGTCTCGGGAACAGTGTGGTTTTCTGCAGCCGGCCACAGTGTGTTCTCAGAGACCCTGGGGACTTTCAGCAGCCCCGGGAGCATGCACCTTCGTCCAAGGGAATCTTACAGAACAAGCCCTTCTCTCTAAAACTCTGAAGAAGCCCTGCCTGTCTGCAAAAAGCATTTTAGAGCCTCCATTCACCCTCTACGTACCTCCTCCACCCCATGGAACAGGGCATTTACTTCCGCAGCTGCTCCTGGTGAAAAGCAAATCCCCTTCAGAGATTCCAGCAGACTCTGGGACAGGGGTTGGACATGCACATGTCCGTGGTGGCCAGCGGAGTGGCTGGCCAGCCAAGGCCAGATCGGGCTGTGTCCCCACCATGGTGGTCAGTTTCAACCAGTTGTGCCCTTAAAGGAAATTGGGCCAGCTATTACAAATTTCCAAGATGAGCCGAGAAAGGCTTTTCATGTAAACTCTCCTGATTTTAAAGTGCTGGTGGACAAATCAAAAAGATGTAACACCATGCAAGCCCAACAGCACACATGAGGGGCCTGTAGGTTTGCAAACCCCTGTGATAGCCATGCTCTGATCATTTAACAGCAGACCTGAAGGGCCACTGTCACCCAGGGAGGCCAGACCTAGGTTCCCACATGCCACCCTGTGCCCTTTTCAGAAATAACACATGCAGAGCTCCAATCACACTCTTCCCATCAAATTCATGGATGCAAATGGTGTTCTTTAGGGTGGAATTTTGGAAACACAGTCATCTGGAGTTCGAATCTGGCAGTCAGGTCTGGGGTGACAAAGCCTGGAGAGGGTGGACTTTGAGGTGATAAGGCTGGTTTTCTCTGTGTGCTGCTCAGGCAGCTCCCAGGAGGTGCCCGAGAGGAAGGACAGCCGAGGACGACTATAAATGTGAGTCTGTTCCGTTCGTGCATCAGTATCTTTGCTTTTCAGCCAGTTTCCACCTGAACATGTAGATGGTTACTGACTCCTTCAGTTTTGCTTCTGAGCTTCCAAGCTTGGGGAAGTTGAGGAAGTTCCAGGTTCTCAGCGTCACATTCAAGTTCTGGGGCACATGGCATCCACGTGAGCCCCGCTCTGGCTCCCCTCGTCTTCCCACGTGCTCTTGAAGCCTTTTGCTGGCCCAAGAGATGCTCAGCCTTGCCCGCTGCCCCCTCCTACTCCGGTTCCCACTGCACCTGGGGCACTAACTAAAAATCAAGGCTCCCGGGCCCTCCTCAGAACAGTTGCCTCAGGCACCCAGGGGTCCCTTATGCTCTGCAGGCTTGGGGGGCATGAGCCTATTGGCTCCCAGTTGCTGTGAGGGGCTTGTGTTGGGCGACTCCATCAGAATCACCTAGGAGCTATTTTAATTTTAATAACAGCTACGACCTAAGTGACACGCTATACAGTTTACCCTTTTAAAGTGTATGATTGACTGTTTTTCAGTATATTCACAAGTCGATCACCAGTATGCTGGGGAATGTTTAAGGTGATACTGTCAGGGCCTCTCCCCAGAGAGCCTGATGCCTTGGGGCCCGGAAGCTCCCAGGACACTCTGCTGTGCAGCCAGCCACGGGAGCCACGGGACAGAGCAGGGGATGGGGGAGATGCTCTCCACTGGGGCGGCCTTGACCCCCGGTCACATTTCGCTACGTCTACAGACATTTTTGGTTGTCACAACTGGGGGATGCTACTGGCACCTAGTCGCAGGAAGGGGCCAGGAACACCGGTCAATATCCCAGTTTCCAGGGTGCATGAGGGGCTGGAAAATGTTCCAGCCCCAGGTGTCCAGTGTCCATGTTAGGAAAGTTGGATTTACAGGAACCTCGAGACCCTTCCAGCTTTAATGAGACACATGGCAACTCCAGGCCCAGCCCACAGTGGCCCCCAGAAACAACTGAGCACTGAGCTAACAGTTACAAGCAGATTCTGATTCAGTGATCTGGGCTGGGGCCTCAAGCCCTGCATCTCTAACAAGCAAGCTCCCAGGTGATGCCACTTTGCTACTCAAAGTCTGGGGACCACACTTTGAGTAGCATGGGTGTGGTTCACTTACAGGTCACCTAGGGCTTGCCTGGGGAGGAGCCTCCAGCTTGCAAATTCGAGATGGTGCACCATCTTGTGTGGTCCTGATGTGAATGGCCACCTCAGTAACCTGCCCACCAGAGAGCTCAGGTACATTCATCCCCACATGGCAGACACCCAGAAACAACTGCTTCTGCAAAGCATTCGACTACACTCAGAGAGGGGTGTGGCAGCTTCCTGAGAATTTTCTTCCATCCAAAAGGATGGAGTAGCTGAATGAAGATTCAGGAGACCCAGGAGCACCTCGCTCTTCTCCTCCTGCCCTCAGGCCTCTCCCCACAGGCACCTAGGCAGAGCCAAGCCCCCTCCAGTCTCCGAGAGGTCATAAGAAAGGTGGGTTTCAAGCTCAGGATACACTTCCAGGACATAAGCAACAGCTCAAGCTGGGGGCACCACAGTCAAGACTTCAGCGGCAACTGGGGGACAAACGTAGTCCACAGAGCCTGTCCAGGCTCAGACAGGTGGAGGTGAAGCTGGGCGGTGACATGGCAACCCTAGGGAGCAAAAGCCAGACTGTCGATGGCAACTGTGGAGACTTCAGTCAAGCAGGGAAACTTCCAAGATGGAACTCTTCAACCCTGGTGCCATCCAGAGGGCCGAGTGCCTGGAAGCTCTCCTAGATTAGGGAGCGAGGTCTGCCCAAGAGGAGGTACAAGGCCGAGTTGGAGAACTGCTGCAGAGGCCCACGCCTCTTCCTTCGCCAAGGATGCCCTCCACAGGTACAGGAAGCCCAGGGCAGTGTAGGGTGTCCCTGGCTTCTCCCTGGGGGGGCAAGAGCAGGTTCCTGCTCCAGCCCAGCTCAGGAGCAGCCAGGTATCCACTGTCTATTGCCCTGGGTGGCTCATCTCCTTAGCAACCAAAGATTTGAGCAGAGGGTGGGACTCTGCCCGGCCTTGTCCAGTCCCCCTTGCTAGCCCCCATAGGCTCTGCGTCCAAACCTATCACAGCTATGGATGCTGTGGCCTGCGCTTCCCCAAGGAAGGGCCCTGCCCCAAGAAGCATGTTCACTGAAGGTTGGGCTGAGGGTCCAGCTTGCAGCTGGTCACTGAAGGCAGGAAGAAAGGTCTTCATATGAAACCCAAGGAAACTAGAAAGCAGCTGTTAGCCCTGGAGGTGGGGATCTGTCCAGCTGGGCAGGGGGAAGGGTGGGCAGAGAGGCTGGGGTTCTAGGAACACAGGCCAGGAACTAACTTCATGGGAAAAGCCTGGGGTAGGAAGATTCCAGAGCATGTTGTGGTTGAAAAGACAGCGACAGACAGGAGCAGTGTGGAGCCAGGCGGTACTGGGGGGTGGGCCTCTGCTCTGGGTTCGGCTGGCACTCTCCCCCAACACGCTGAGCCAGCTGGCAGCAAAGCTTAGGATACGAGGCAAGACCACAGAGCCTGGTGGTGGGTTGGAACTCTTTCTTCTCCTTTGTTAAAAGGGGGAAAAGACTGGGAATGGGGTACCCCCCGGGCTCTGGGGGAGACATGCAGGCAGCCCCAGCAGGCAGGCACTGGGGGATGGGTGGGAAGAGTCCTGGAGTTTCCCACAATCCTTTTCTCTGCAGGGAACAGCAAGGCTGGCTGCCGAGGGGGCAGAGGAGAGGGACAGGGCCCTGGGGAGAGGGACAGCGGGCAAGGGACTTGGGGGCTCACTCTAACATGCAAAGTCCAGCTGCCCCATAAACTAGGTTGCTTCTTGAAGGGCGACATACATATAAATACACAGACACAGCTACACGCACACATGCGGAGAAGGCTCTGCATTCCCGAGGGTTGGGATCTAGGTCTGCCGGCCCCCAAGGAGCTCCGAGGCAGAAGCCGGCCGAGTCTCCGCCTCGGCAGTTCTCCGCAGCCCCCCGGGGCAGGGCGGGGTAGGGCAGGCGAGTCCTCTGGGGAAGGCTGCTTGTTCTCTGAAGTTCTGTCCACCAGCACCCAGATGACTGGGAACCAAATCCACCACAGCTGGGTGCTGCATGCCTGCTCTGCCAGGCACGCGTGTGGGCAGCCTGTGTGCTGGCACGAGGGTCCGGTCTCTCCCCTCCAGGGCTCCGGGGAAGGGGGGTGCAGACAGAGGAGGGTGAAGGGGCCCGCAGAGACATCCT